CCTAGCTCACAGCAACCTCAAACTCCTGGGCTTGAGTGATCCTTCTGCCTCAGCCTCCCAAGTAGCTGGGACTACAGGCATGCGCCACCATGCCCGGCTAATTTTTTATATATATATCAGTTGGCCAATTAATTTCTTTCTATTTTTATAGTAGAGACGGGGTCTCGCTCTTGCTCAGGCTGGTTTTGAACTCCTGACCTTGAGCAATCCGCCCGCCTCGGCCTCCCAAGAGCTAGGATTACAGGCGTGAGCCACAGCGCCCGGCCTAATTTTTGATAGTGGGAAAATGTATAAAGTAAGACATTATTATTCAAATGTTATTGAAATGGCTTTACCACAGTATTTTTCATATTAACGTTGTTTTGCTTTATAATCTTAGGTTAAATTCTTTAAGAAATATTATCAAGTCTTCAGCAAAAGCTAATTTCCAAAGCCATTCAGTGTTCCAGAAATATGTTTAAGGGTAGTTCTTCCTGTTAAGAAAAATTTCAGTGTTGGCCCCCAGCTCAAAAAAATTACAATCAAATTTTATAATTGCTAAGCAAATCAAATTTAAGTCAAAATAATCAGCTTCAATTTCTGACAAAATTCAAAGAATTGAGGATGGTTAAAGTAAAGAAAGAAAAATTTACCACTTTGTGAGTTCAGTAACACATGGTAGACTCAAATATTTCTGCGGGGTACTTGCTGATGAATAATACAGTGAATAACCATAGGCTTTAAACTCCTTACATTTTTTTGAGCCTTGTAAATTTGTCAACTAAGCCCTTTTTCTACTGCACACATTCATTACCATTATCAGTGATAACACATTTTAGCAGATTCCACTTTAGGTTGTACAGAATTAGTATTTTCTTGACTTCTTTGAAAATGTTCACCCATAGTTGTTCCATGGAGTATTCAGAGGCTAAACTTTCAGTCACTTCAAACTTGGCATTAATGCCTCAAATAAATAAGAATTGAGTAGTATTTGTTAACATCAGTCAATTCATTAACAGTC